GGCAAGACAGTACCCCAAGCGATGGTAAAGTGATCGCCTTACTTCAGCCAACATATTGGGACTAATAAGTTGAACGGCTTCTGAAATTTTCACTTTTAACTCATCTAAGTCGTTAGCTCTTTCTTCCCTGAATTTGTATATCTGAGACTTTAAATAACCCCACAAAAAAAATCACAAGGTGCGAGATCCGGCGATCTAGCTGGCCACAGAATTGTACCTTTCCCTGATAATAATCTGTTGGGAAATGTTTCATTTAAAAAGTGCTGCACCGTCACACGATTATGCACAGAACATCCGTCTTGTTGAAACCAAATATTGTTAAATCGAGCTCCTGCCAATCGCCGTATCTCAGGGACAATATGGTGTCTGAGTAAATCCAAATATTTAACACTATTTAAATTACCCTCAATATAAAAAGGACCGATTACATTTTCACCTAGTATTCCCATCCAAACATTCAACTTTTGCGGGAACTGCATGCGAACTGTTACAAATTTGTGTAAATTTTCTTAAGACCAATATCGGACTTGGGATGGATTATGCCTGGCAAGTAATGGAAAAGTCGACTCATCGGTGAACTCAACATTGTAAAGAAAATTGTTGTCATTGTTAACTTTATCCATTACTGCATCGCTAAATTCCATTCGTCTGATATTGTCAGTTTCATAAATTTCTTGGTATTTTCTTACTTTATAAGATCGATATCCACGTTTTTTTAAAATTCTATTTATTGTGGTTTCACTGGAACCTACAACTTTCGCAACCTCTCTCTGAGATATCATCGGATTTTCTTCCACAGTTGCACAAATCATAATATCCCTATCTTCTTGTTCATTCTGATTATTATTAACTCGAGCCTTTCTATGTTCATTGGGAGAAACGCAGCCATGAATTTCAAAATTTTGAACAATACGATGTACTGTTGAGAGTGATGATATGGGCCTATTTTGAAATGTCGATGTCGCCTCAAACCGCTTATTTGTCGAATTGTGTTGCCTTGAAAATGCCATTTCACAATTTGTATTTTCTCAGCAATTTCGTAAACACAAAATTTGAATGTGACAGTTGCGGACAAGCGTCAATTGGTCATCATGTTTACCATGTTCCTAGTACGATGGATGAATCGGTATATAAAATTGTTTGTCCTGACTGACTGACTGATTGACTGACCTATCAGCGTACAGCCAAAACTACTGAACCTAGAAAGCTGAAATTTGGAACATAGGTTTATTTTATAACGTAAGTATCCGATAAGAAAGGATTTTTGAACATATTCGTTATATATTCAAAGAAAGTAGCTGCGCACAGCCATACATTCTTGGATGTGGTTAGAGCCCAGTGTTTTGGTACATTTTTAATGACTTCCTAAAAACAACACAAACTATTTTTCCTGGTTCTATTATTTTTTGCGAAGGATTTTTTTTCTTAGATTATTTCATCATTTTTTGCATGGAATCGAGAAGTTGTTTTTTTGAAATTGGAAAAGCTGTAAAATCCAGTGAACCAGAATGGATTCATACTTTGAGTTAAGATTGTTGCAGGACCCAGAGCTCTTTCCATTTGCTATAACTATAATTTTTTTGGGGTCACTTCTGAAATGAAATAAAAACAGTAAAAGCAATTATTGACATATCTTGTCAATGATTGGTTAGAATAATTTATTTTTAAGGAGTAAAATATTGCCGACATTGCAATTTTTGCAATTGCATTATGAACAATTTTTAAACTAAAATAATTCTAACCAGTCTTTGACAATGATGTCAATTTCTGTCCAGTATCTTATTTTGGTCTAACTAGTCGAGTTTTTACAAGTTTTTTCATAATTTTTCCCAATGTTGGAATTAGAGATGTGGGCCTAAAATTAGAAGGCTCAGTCAAGTATCCTCCCTTATATAATGGAACCGCAACACTCGTTTTAAGAAAAGGAGAAAAAGTTCTCCTTCATTACTTTTATTTATTAAAATGGATAAAACGTCTAATGCAGAAGTAGATAAGTTTTGAAATATTTTTACTGACATTCCATCATATCCTGATGCAGTTTTGTTGTTTATGTCATTACAAACTTTTAATATTTCTAAGGAATTTGTTTATCTTAAGAAAAATGAGTATTTAATTGGTGACGATTTTACAAATTTTAATAGGTCAATATTTAGATTTTTTGTTAGATTTTCAGCGATATTGTAATAAAATATATTGAAATCGTTAGGATTTATATTTGCATTTTATAATTTATGGGTACTTATGCCTCCCAATTCATTAATAATAGACCAAGTTTCCCAAGCCTTACTATTTGAGTTCTCAATAATTCTTGTATGATAATACATATCTTTAGCTTTTCTAATAAGTGTTCTATATAAAGTTCTGTGGCGATAATTGAGTAAAGTTTTTTTATATATTTCAGAGATCTTATATTTTTTGATGAACATCTTAAACCAGCTGTAATCCACGGCATTTTTTGCTTAATTTATATTTTTTGAATAGGGAAAGACGCATTAAAAAATTTGCTTAAGTTGAAACAAAAATCGTTAAAAGGAGATGTACCAGAAAAGCAACTGTACCAATTAAAATTTTTACAAACTGAATGAAATTTTCCATAATTAGATTTACAAAACAATCGACCATGACAAAAATTGGTTTTAGGAAGCTTGTGCTCAAGATATATCGAAGTTAAAACGGCTTCATGATCGGACTGGCATTCACTGTACCCGATATATTAGCAGGTTCGTAGGAAGTACAGAAATAATCAACGTTTCGGAATATTACGTTATCCTTGTTGGTTCGTTAACATGCATACTTAAATTAAAGGAAATTAATACATTTTTTAATCTAATAGTACTATTATCATCATCATCGTTAAGATAATCTATGGTTAAGTCACCTATCAAAACTATTTTAGATGATATAGAAAATCTACTTAGCAAAGATTCCAAATTGTTTAAAAAAACTAAAACATTTTAATTTGGTGATCTATAGATATAAATAACATAACGTCGCCGAAATCCGAAAACTTCGTAACTCCATTTTGATAAATTTTATAGGAGAGACAAAAAACTTTTTTTTTAAACTGGTCACGCCGATTCTTGTTAAATTTTGAAAATAGGCACTATTTGGATTAACTTCTCATGCCTTAAACTCTATAAGTCTTTTTAGGTGTTTTAAATATTTTAATGGACTTACACAAATTTCCAAATATTTTTGAAAATGCCGTGAGTTTTTAGAAAAGATTTTAAATAACAAAATGGTAATATTTAAAAATCGAATAAAACTTGACGACTCAAAAGATGACAAGCTGTTCATTCATAAGGAATGTTGTCATAAAAAGCATGGTAGTCCTCTTCTAAGCCCATTTTCAACTGTTGCAGGTGATTAAACTTTTCTTCCTTAATTTTTCTTTGTGTTGTGTATAAATTGGGTAAATCCTCAGTACTTAAAGCGTTTTGACGTGCGTTCATTATCGAATTCCTTAGAGTGTCGAAGCCTGGCATCTATGCGTCCACTGGGGTTATATCTTATTTGTTTTATATCTGTAACAACTGGGGCACCAGTTTTACGTCCTGGTCTGATTTAAAAACTTAACATTATCAAAATTTAAAAAAAAATCTGATGTGTCCAACACATGACTTTCCTATCTAGTTATTATAGGCATTTTCCGGTTATTTTGTACAATCTATTGCAGCATCTCTATAAATGTTTAGAGGATAAACTAAATATATACATTTTACACATACATCTACCTCGAAACATTTTTCTATAGATATTCATTGAAAACGAAAATACAGAAAAATTTAAATTTAGCACTTTTCCATTACGGACCATTTTAGAAAAATCATGTATAAACAAAAATTATAGAAATCGATATCGCAAACAACTTTTAGTTCAACAATTTTCATAAAAATCAGAATTTTGCACATTTTGTCAAATTTCTCGAATACGGACCATTTCAGGAAATTTTGACATAAAACAAAAATTATAGATAATAATATTAGAAGTAACTTTTATTTGAACAATTTTCTTCTCCAAACATAAATAACAGATATATTCCATAAAATATAAAAACGGCCTCCCATAAAGTACCCCCCCAGATGTTCCAACTTTGTCCAAAATCTAATCATTTCACGTCAGGCCGAAATAAACCTTAAGTTTAAAATTTAATGTTTTTTCTTTTATCCGTTTTTGAGTTTTCTTCAAATTTCGAAATTTACACATTTTCTCAAATATCTCGAATACGGTCCATTTTAGAGAAATTATGTATAGGACAAAAATTATAGAGAATTATATTATAAACAACTTTTATTTGAACAATTTTTATAAAAAATTATGTTTTTTACATTTTGTCAAATTTCTCGAATACGGACCATTTTAGAAAATTTTTGCATAAAACAAAAATTATAGATAATTATATTAGAAGTAACTTTTATTTGAAGAATTTTCTTCTCCAAACGTAAATAACAGATATATTCCATAAAATATAAAAATGACCACCTATAAAGTACCCCCCCAGATGTTCCGACACTGCCCAAAATCTAATCAGCTCATTGGACGCTGAAAAAAAGCTTAAGTTTAAAATTTGGTGTTTTTCTGTATATCGGTTCATGAGTTATGCGTTATACAGACACACACACACACACACACACACACACACACAGACATCATCGCGGAAATAGTCAAAACGGATTCAGGGGACCTCAAAACGTAAAAATCCGTCGAAAACTCGAGGTCGAAAAAAATCATGATTCCTATACTTTCCTTATATCTGTATACAGATAGGAAAGTAAAAAATGAACAATATTTTACAAAATAGGGTCTTGAATTAAGACGTGCTATTTACAATCACATTGTTTGATTGCAATATTCAAAAGTGCATTGGACAACACATTGTTTCTATTCTGGGCTACGTAGCCATCACTCCAAATTATAATTTAAGCTAAACTTTTATCAATTTTTGGTAAAATCATGGTTTCAATAAAATACTTGAAAACTCGTTTGCGCCTAGAGAACCCTCAATAGCCATCATTTGACTTTATATCATAAAGAGTATAATTGTGCACAGCAAGCTTGGTCTTATAATACACTAGTGTTACTTTGGCTTTCGGGGCAAGTAATACTGATTGCAAATCGACTGTCAGAACTACATCATTCTCAAAGAGTTTATCCCCGCCTTTTTCGCTTCTAGCTTCCTCCTTTAAAACCAAAAATTGTTGGTATGTTTCATCAGAGATATTTTTAGTTTTATAGCCCATGCAGATATCGCGCTGGTCTTTTTTTAGTCTGTATAGAGATGAACCCATTTCATTGAATATTGAACAAAATTATGTAATACTAACAGCTTGTGCATTCTACTCTACACACCAGTTATTTTTATAGAAACGAAATAATTCTCTTTTGCTTTGCCATGAGGGCTCCAAATATAATTTGCTAGTGAAAGCGCGACAATAATGTGATTCCATCTTAAAAAAGGACGTGAAAAAGATTTTTAGCTGTTTAATTGATTTTTGTCTTTTCATTTTCTTTTCTAGGTCTTTTAACTCTCTCTTCGACGTTGCCTTCAGTCATGCTATTGTTCTTATCTAACCAAAGCAATATAACATTTTCTGATATCCCTGAAGTTCTTGTGAACATCTTTTTGCATACTCTAATTTTTTAAATTGCTACATTTCAAGTAGTACTTATATGAATAATTTTTTCTACTATTTTCGGTTGTACCCCGTTGCCTTTTCACCTCTTTTATGGAAATGAGACCTAGCGCATATTGCTTGTTTTCAGGCCAAGTCATCTTCCAAAACTTATCAAATATTTCTTGACCACATTTCTGTATTAGTTCCACTTATTGTCTACCTTTTTTTTGCTTTGGTAAGCCCTACCAAATTCCCTGTTCTTTTTATTTTGCAATATAATGCATCTTCCTTTACATAAACACTTCTTTTTTTCTTTATTGTTATTTTCCACATCTTCCACAGTGTCAGTCTCATTTCTAATTTGTTCTCTTACCTCTCTAGGATTCTGATTTTCTAAATCAGAAGGTTCATCATTACTACCTACAGAATGCTCCTCAGGTACATATTCATCAGATTGATCCATGACAGTATCATTCTCATAAATTACGGCTTGTGTTAATATTTGGTTTTCCTGAATTTTTTCTTCAGTTTCGATTGCCTCATTTTCTATCTAGTTATCTTCAAAATATCCCGTTCTTTGCTCGTCATTTCTATCTTCACTCTCTAGACCTGTTTCACCTACTGTTTCCAGGCCAATTACGGCATTGTCATCCTCAACTAAACAGAAGTAAACATTATTAATAATAAAAGTAAGTATGTGAGTGTGTAATATACCCTTACCAACATTGAAAGCAAATAGGTTGGTTAACCAAAATGTATACCTTGCACGGAAAACTCACCTGCATCAGAATAATCTATTCTTTGTAAGGAACCATCTTCTAGTACAATGTACTCCTCAATGACCTCAGTATGAGTCTTTATAGACCTCAGTGGTGTATATATTATTACATTGGATGTCATTATATGTTTCATTAAAATTTTAAACCATATTAAGTATTTTCTTTCCCCTTGACATGATTGAACTCTACAGAAAAAACGTATTAATTTTTTAAACATATTTGGAACAGAGTACACTTACCTTACTTTCAATCATGCAACACTTGATTTTGTGTAAAAAATTAACAGAAAATGCGACCTAAAGCGTAACATCAAACAGTCAGTTAGAGTAACATGTGAACTAGGGGAGTTGTTACACATATTTCATTTACAAATAGCTGCTGACTGGAGTTAGGTAAATTTCTATTTTTATAATTACGTAAATTCCAATTTTTTGGTATATATGCTAATAGAAGGCAATAAAATCCAAAATTCGACAAAAGGTGGAGTTACATACTTTTCGGGTTTCGCCGACGATAAATACTAAGTTTAAGAATAGAAATAATGGAAAACTCAAAATGTTTTTCCTCTAAAAGTTCAGGATATTCAAAATCTTAAATTGCAAAGTATGAAATACGGAATCATGTATTAAGATTGCTGTACCCCCGTGTTTATACACTTCACTGCATAAAATAATTATTACATTATAATTTGGAATAGATAAATGTAAATCTTTTTCAAACCACTGTTCCGTTAATAATAAAATGTGAGGGTAATAGTAATCTTCTATTAATAAAAATAAATGAACTTTATTACGAACAGACTAAGGGGTCTATTCTGTAACAATTCTTTTATATTTAACGGCCTTTAAACATATTGGTTGCCTTTAAAAATATGTTCGTATTCGTTAATTTACTTCTGTCATTATTTAAACAGATTTCTTTAAGATAGTCCTCTAATCTATTTTAAAGATCCGTTTAAATAATGACAGAAGTAAAGAAGAAAATATTTTTAAAGGCCGTTAAATATAAAGGAATTGTTACAGAATAGACCCCTAAATATTTAATAGTTATTAACGTTATAAGGCCGATAAATAGCAAATAACGGCCGGGCTGAAGTTTGTGATCCGAGGCGATAGCCGAGGATCATAAACAGCCAAGGCCGTTATTTGCTGTTATCGGCCGTGTTTTGTTCAAGATTTTTCGTCATACTGCTACAAAAACAAAACACCTAATTTAAGAACAAATTTCATTAAACGTAACTCTTAAAAGATAGGTACGGAATAAAACAATTTATTCCTTATTGTAATCGATGTGGAAATTGAATTCGCAATTGGTGTTATTTGAAATCTGCAACCCGTCCCAAGGATATTTAGATTTTACAGAGGAAGATGTTTCTGAAGAATGTGAACTATTTGCAGTACTTGAAGATGCAATATTCTCCGGATTATTTGGAAAAAGTTGTTTTGTTATTTTCATTCTTTTAGAAACCGATTTTTCTATGTAAGTTTCTGCCACCGTTGATGATTCCCATTCTCCCAGTTCTTTTAATGACAGTAAGTCACCACCATTTTCTACGAGCATAGTTGCTGATGTTCTATGAAATGAATGTCCTGTATAAAGTTCGGGATTTTCAATTTTTAAAAAGGTGGCAATTTTCTTAGGAACGCTTCCGATGGTATGTATGCCGACGACTTGCTGCACACATTTGCCATTCCTATAACCAACGAAAAATCTCTGATTTTTGAAACTAGGAGGACGCAGATTACTGTATTTCTTGTATAAACCATATGCATCAAATGGGAGTCCTGTTTTTTGTATAAGAAAATTTCTGTCTTTTTTATTCTTAGTATTTTTTAGTGATACGAGGATGTTTTTCTCTGTATCTTCGAAACTGTTAATGGTGAGAGACGTAAGTTCACTTCTCCTGCAAGCTCCTAGAATACCGAGCACTAACACAACCTTTTCCAGTAGCCAGGTATGATCATCCGCGTCCAGCAAAAATTTAAGTATATCATTTTCCGATAGAACCTTGGCTTTCTTTGGGGTATAACCTTCATTTTTGCGCCTCAGGAACAAGAATAGTTTACCGAATCTACAAACAAACATAATTTCGATGAGTATATAGTTAGTTCAATGTTGGCGGATAGTATAGTAATTTACCTTGATATGTCAATGTTTTCATGTATTCTTAACGCAAGTTTCAGCATTGATATTTTTGTCCACAGTGATGCAGGAGAATACGTTTCAGACATTCCTTTTGCATAAGCTAGCAGTACTTCTTCACTTACACTATGTATGTTTTTATTCTGACGCCACTTCACGAAGTTGTCGTATTCCTGCTGATATCTTTGTTGGGTTGTACTCGAAAATAAATTTTTGGTTGCCGCAGCTGCTTCTTCCAGTACATCGGAGGGAATATCGTTTTCGAAAATTTCTTCCATCTTTGATCTTTTCCGCTCTATAATCACTCAACAAGAAACAGTACTGTCAAACTTACAATGTTTGTATAGTATATTGATGTGGTTGCTAGGCAACTTTAGATTGTTGTGATTGTTGTAGGTGGTGTGCGGCCGTTCTTTTCTTTTCGATATCAATTTCGCTTATATTATGGTAAGATAATAGTACAGTATGACGAAAAAGTAAAAACGTTGAGTCAACGGGATTAATGGAAGGATTACATCTAAAAGACCTATTAGGTTCTCCCAAGTCACTAACAATATGATCACTGTTTACTGCATATTCAAATTAATTGTCGTTTGTTAAAATTACTTTTAATTATGATTGTTAATTTTTTTCTGGTTCAATACCGACTTTTCCATGCAATAGTTTTTACAACAATTTCTTAGAAACATTCTTTTACATCGTTACCGACCATGTTGAGATAAAAATCTTGGACTCGTCCAATCCGATTTACGGGAATTTAAAATGAAGCCTAATAAGATTTACACAGCACTGATTTAAATTTAAACATATTAGTGGAAACCGTATCCGAGCTGAGTAAAGAAAGGCATGGAATAATGAGAAGTTTTAACAGTATTATAATCTAATTCCCAAAGCATATTTAATACGATTTATTGTAAAAAATAAATCATTTACAAGAATTACAACCGCATTCAGTGAAAAACAAACGAGTCGTTAGACAAATGCACAATCCCACATTTAAAAAAAATAACAATTTATTGTCAAACAATAAATCTCTTTTAGAGGAATATGTATTTTTGTTAAATTTTCGTTTTATTATTATTTTTCAGTGAGAAATTTAATTTCGTTCCAGTATTTTTCACAAAGCGGCAGCCGCGACACATAGTCGTATTATTCGGTTAAATGTGTTAATGCCCAATATGTCAGAGCCGAAAACAATGACGGCGAAAACTATTATTTGCGGTTTACCCGTTAATTATAACCGAACACACGTTATTTCTACTCACAGTGCCCGCTTTCGATTTATTGCTCTTTTTGTATGCGCTACGGTTTTAAACTACAGGGTGATTATTGAATGAATCGCTTCCGATTAAGTAATTGGGTCATCATGAAAAGCGAGCAAATTCGTAAACCGCGCTAATGTTGATTTTTCTCTTTCGAATAAATCATTCACGAGTTTACTCGTCGACGTAATTGATTCTCACCATAATAATTTCAAATATATCGTACATCCGGTGCAATAACGTGCAAAAATCTATTTTTTACAAGGGACCCATTTGAAAGTTTTGCTCGTCATAAACTGAAATGCGATTTTTTGAGTGGCTGTATCTTTGGTAAAAAAGGCGGGATGTGAATGAAAAAAAAAAAAAAAAAAGAAGCAATTTGAAGCTTGAAGTGTCTAGTTTATGGATCTTGCGATAAAAAAAATTTCCAACCAACAATTAGCACAAAATCCTGATGAATATCATGGATAGATTTATCTATGCCAAGAAACAATCCTTTTACTCCTTCAAGGTTCCTTCCAGCATGGTGGGACTCTGCGTGTTCCGATTTAGTTGAGAGTAGAAAGATAGCTTTATGCAACTATAGTCACACATCGAATTTAGACAATTTTATTTTTTATAAAAATCTGCAGGCCAAAATTAAGCTGATATTCAAACAAAAAGCACAGAACAACTGGAAAAAATTTGTTAGTAGTTTAAACAAAAATACTCCAATATCTTCAGTATGGAGATATATTAAAAGTATTTCAAACAAAAATAAATATAATAAAAAACTGTTCTGGCTCCAGATCTAATAGAAACATTATTTGACCATATTGCTCCTCCATTTGTTGATCCAAGTTTTATTCCTCAGCTGGTAAATAATAGGGAATTGGGAAATAAAAATAATCTTTATTCAAAAATAACTTTAACTAAATTATAATTAGCAATTAAAACCACTTGTAACACAGCTCCTGGAAAGGATAGCTTTTCTTATGCTTTGATTAGAAATTCACCAGACAATTCAAACAGTGTCTTAGTTGAAATTTATAATCAATGGTGGTTACAAGGACTTCTTCCTGAATCTTTTAAAGAAGTGGTAATTATATTTATTATTAAACCAATGAGAAACTCTAGCGATCCATCGTCTTACCGTCCAATTTCTCTGTTATCGTGTTTTGCTAAAACTTTTGAGAGAATTATTAAACGTCGTTTAGAATGGTATTTTGAACATAACTCTCTGTTACCTAGTTCCCAGTACGGATTTCGTAAGTCTAAAAGTACTTTAGACGCCTGTACTC